GGTTCAGTACTGTCGGCGTGCAGACCCCACTATCACTCTGTTCTTGTTCGTCCTCTTCTCCAAGCTTGTTTTGGCACAATTCTGATTCTGCGTTTCTCAGCGAGCCAACGTCCGGACCCAAATCTACACGCATACTCCCAGCCCTTCACGCCTACTCTTCTACGTTACTGACCCGAGCACCTATTGACTTCATCTCCCCCAACATCCTCGAACTTCAATCCATCTATCAAGCCGCTCGCGCCACAGAAGTCACGGACCTGCCAGGGTGGTGGGAGACGATCGAGAGTTTCAAGCTAGGCGATAGGTGGCGCAACGAAGTCGAGTTGCTCTCGCGGTTGGCGGTACACCCGCCGTCTGGTACTTCGGCACCAGGAGAGAGGAAACTGGACTGGCTTGTCAAACAGGGCGTTGTTCAGATGGCGGTGAACCTCCTGCCCTTCTTCCAGCACATCCTCATCAAGTGCGGGCAGGACGGTGTCGTCGCGATCTTCCGCACCTCATCCCTCTCGTGGTCGACAGAGCGGACCAACCTCGCAACACATTCTCGTCAGGTCGTTTCGCATTACTCCCTTTCCCCATCCGTGCAAGGTTCAATCGTCCTGCGGCATTTCCCACCCCTCTGGGTAGAGGCGAAGGATATCGTCAACGTCACTGGAGCAGGCGACTCGTTTGTTGGTACGGTTCTCGCTGAACTTGCAGAGAGGAAAGACGGGCTCAATAGCCCGGAAGTGTTGGAGGAGGTGGTGGGGAGGGGACAAAGGGCGGCGGTGATGAGTTTGGGGGCGGAGACGAGTGTGTCGCCGGCGTTGGGAGGGGGGTGGTGAGGAGGATGTGGACCTAGGCGTCGATTGCATGTCAGACTTCCCAGGTGCTCGGGAAGGGGATGGGGACAGGTCGTTTGGAGACCATGACAGGAGAACCGTCAGCGAGTTCGAGACGACAGATTCGGAACCCTGTCGGTGTGCACCTCCAAAATATAACGTGTAATACTTCGTGTATGGGACAGATATACGGTGCTGATACAGACGAGCACTGCCTTCGGCGTTCAGAAGCGTTCAGCCAGCAGATCGCACCCTTCCCTGTTGCATAGCTGCTCTAACCGCCGGAAGCGACTATCCTCTAGGATCGCTTTCCAGTTGCCGTATAGACGAATGCTCTGTAACGAGGGGAAGCGAGTTCTGTCGATCAACCAGTGAAAGTGTTGTTCGACGTGAGGGATGGTCTGGTCATCCATCGACTGGTTCGGAAGGGAATGGAGCCCAATGTGTACGATATTCGACACGAACAGCGGGAAGTCTGGGTCATTTTGAGAGGCTGCTTCAGGAATACGTGTGAAGTGGATGTGGTAGTTCAAGGTCTCCAAATTTCTGCATCGGCGCAGAACAGATAACAAGACGTCGTGCGCGAGGAACGACATGTGCACCCCCAGCTCCACGATACGAAGCTGATCTGCTAGGGTATCCCACAGGATTGCGAGACCCGCCTTCTTCATGAGGCCATCCAGGATGACGTGCGTGACGCCAGGAAGCGACCAGGTACAGGCCTGCCGCACGCCGAGGATGCTGATAAGGCTGAGAAACCTTATGGTCGTCAACGCCGGCAAGCTGACGAGCGGATGGCGAACGAAGGGCATATCGCCGCCAAGGGACAGGTATTTCAGATTAGGTGCCTGCATTAGGACCTCGTGCAGCGTGTTGATTCCCCCCGTTCGTGCTGCGCGGTCGAAGTACGTCCAATCTAATCTGCGGAGGGAGGGGAGGGGCGGCACGTCTTCAGCCGTGAACTCGAAGGAGAGAGATGTGGTCAGATAGTGCAGCTGTCCATAGGCGGGCGTGGGCCGAATGAGAACGCGGAGATTGGGACAGAGGCGGACGAGCTCTGTCGATCCGTCGGCCGGTCGGGAGGCAGGGCTGGTCTGTGTAGCATCGTATGGGAGTACCATGAGGCGGACGGATTCGCCGTTGTTCAGACCACCATGCTTTGTGGGGTTCGAACCTGCCCGTAAAACAGAGTCCAGGGCGTGTATCTTGGACTCCAGGACGCGGATTTCAGTGAATTGAGGCGATGATTGCACGAGCTCGCACCACTGGCGACAAACGAGAGCGATGAGGTATCGGCTGGTGATTCTGGCGTGCACGCCTTCCAATTGGATTCGTACGTTCTCAAAGGGCGTGTAATTCTCGGTGAGCTGTTCACCAGGAGCGCTCTCCATGATCCAGGTGAACACTTGTAGCCATAACTCCGCAGGAAGGTGCATTTTGCGCTCTTCGTCATTTACAGGCGTTGTGGTTCCAGTGCCTTCAGATACCCATCACAGACGACGTTTACATGCATGATACAAATTAGCTCACGTCAGCGTTTGCTCCTTGTGCTCGTTCAACTTGGAGTTTCTTGGGAGATAAAGTCGAAAGGGACGAGGAGAAAGTGTTATCCGGGAACGCGTGTGATACCCAGTCAGCTGGATGGTCAGTTGAGCCTGAACCGCCCTCGCGCCAAGTAATTTCGAAATTGTGATGGCTTGACGACCACCCTCGCACCCGCCTCACACCAACTATGCCAGCTGGATATTTACGGTTTTCGGCGCGTTCTCCTTGAACAGCAACCACAATGAGTTCCACCTCTATGTATGTATTTCTGAACCCTTCGCTCAGACACCTCGGCTTCAGAGTGTCAGTCCTTGTCACCAGCGTGTCGGCGGCGATAACTCACTTCAGCGCTGCTTCAATACATCCCCCCTCGCCTCCTTCTGAACCGACCCGGCGCCCTGTCGCATCATTCATTATGACCTCCGATCTTAGCCCCATCAGCGGCCTATTGTGTATCTTTCCACCTGGATTTGCATGTCATTGCATGTGGGATTATCATCACGATGGCGAGTCGCTCGCTACAAAGAGGCCTTCGAAACATCACATTCCTGGCATCTTGTCCGGAGTATCAGGGGTACCATCCTTGTCTGCACATGGGTCGCTGCCTTGCGCATGTCTTCCGCCCTGCGAGGTCCAACCGTAACTCGGAGACAGACGCCCGACAAGGACAGCAACAAAAGGTATAAAGGGGGCGAAGGCATCGTCGAATCTCTTCATCTCCTTCACCAGAGTCCACTCATCCTCGCATCATGTTCCCCAAAGCCACCCTCGTCGCCGCCGCCCTCGCGTTCGCCAGCACTGTCGCTGCTGCTCCTGGTCTCAGGATCAGCGTGTCGGCTCCTGCTTCCGTCAACGGCGTTCAAGACTTGAAGCTGTCCACCACTCTCACAAACACTGGTGACGAGATCCTCCGAGTACTCAAGTGAGTTGATTGCCGCCTTCTTAACTCTGCTAATTGCTAAACGCCTACCCCTCAGCGATCCCGAGTCCATTTTGGACGACCTTGATACCGACACCTTCAGCATTACCAGCTCGTCCGGTTCTCACCCTAGCTTCACTGGCGCAGTCGTACGTGTCATACTGCTCTGAACACGCTAAATTTGCTCACCGCCTGCTCCAGACCAAGTACTCTCCCGAAGCCGCGGCCGCTGACGGTGGATTCACCATCCTCAACGTCGGCGAGTCCATCACCGTTGAGCACGACTGTAAGTTGCGATTCTTTGACGTTGCTCGTCCTCATAACGCTGATCAACGTTTTCATCATCACAGTGGCATCTACCTACGACTTCACGGATGCCGGCGCTGACGACTACACCTTCGTCCCCCACAACCGATTCCAAATCGTCAAGGATGATGGTAGCATCGAGGACCTCGTAGCCGACTTTGAGGAGACCACCGCCAAGGTCGAGGGTGTTCTCGCCGTTGAGAGGCGCGCCATCGAGAAGCGCGCGGAGTTCCCCGGCTGCACTGCTGCCCGCTCCAGCTTGATCACCACCGCGTACGGCGTCGCCGCCACCTACGCTACTAACGCCAAGGACTACCTCGCGGCCAACACCGGTGCCACGCAGAGGTACACCACCTGGTTCGGCGCTGCTAACGCTAGCCGCCGCAGCACCGTTGTCAGTCACTTCCAGAAGATTTCGGCAGGCAACTTTGCCTCCTACACCTACGACTGCTCTTGCACTCGTTCTGGTGTGTACGCATACGTCTACTCTAACCAGCCCGGGAAGATGTGGCTCTGCCGTGAGTTTCTTCCCTCACTTATCGCCTGATTGTTCGTCGCTGATTATCTTTCTTCAACAGCCGTCTTCTGGCAGATTGCCAACTCTGGTACCGACTCTAAGGCCGGAACCATCGTCCACGAGGCTTCTCACTGGAGTGTCAACGGCGGTACTTCCGACTACGTCTACGGGCAGTCCGGCGCCAAGAGCCTCGCCACCAGCAACCCTGGCCAGGCCGTCATGAACGCTGACAACCACGAGTACTTCGTTGAGAACACCCCCAACCTTCCCTGATTGCTTTCACTTCTCGCGCATTAACTTGTACTCTAGTCATGTAGTCGGTGTATGTATGTAAACCATTGTACCGCTTTGCTCTCCTGTCGCAATGCTATTTCGGATACCCTTTTTTCGCTGTGGAACATCAAGGAACGACAGTCAGCGCGCGACACCCGTCCTGTGTTTGCACTCGTACGCGCCGCGTCAAGTTCAACGCTCAGCGCTCAGCTCTCAGCGTTCAACGTTCATGAGTTGAGGGGCGCGTACAGTAAGTTGATACTTGCATATCATCAAACAAGCCAATGTCTGAGCTCACATGTGCTTACGTTCTACTCTCACACGCTGCGACGCTCGTATGCAACTCGCATGCATGAGTAGCTTGCACCTCGCTCATCTACTGGAGATTTACTGTGGGTCAACTATGGGTGTCGCATCTCATGACCGGTGCAATAACGAAGAAGTATAGTGCCATGGCCATGTGAGGTCGCTGAGGAGGTCTAAAGCCAGCAAATTTCAAGGTCTATAAGTCGTTCAACTTGAAATTATCAATGCACACGGTCGCTCGCCGGCGACACCGGTCGCCTGTGAACACTAAACCGACAATCAGTACAAAAAGTTGAAAGTAATGCCATTTTAACTGCCCCCGAGAGGGTCGAACTCTCGATCTCCCGATTAACAGTCGGACGCTTTAACCAACTAAGCCAGGGGGCATGTGATGATGCTATTATCAGTATCTGCTATATCAAAGCATTTACTTTTGCCAGCGGTCGGATTTCCGCAAGGCCGATCTCTTCTTCTCCCGCCATCGTGGCTGCACCCTTCAGAGCACTTCGTTGACCTCATATCCAATGTCGTTTATCGCGAACTTTGTTTCTAGCATTGCGACGCAAGCATGCTCACGGCTGCCGCTAGGCTTTTGCTCTGCCGAAATGACTCATCATGTTCCGTGCCTGGACATCTTGTGGGTCTCCATTTTTCTCTATTTAATCTCCGTGCTCGCGTGTACATGAACATAACTTACGCACTATACTCAAACGCCTTCTGGATTCAGAGTCCTGTCTCTTGACCACCATGATGCTCGCACCCAAGCCCACTCTACTCCGGCATGCGTGTCCAATTCCAAGGCATTTTCGAGTCCCTGCTGCAGCTGGGTCCGTCTTCGGCCGCGGTTCAAGACATTTCGGAGGGGCATTTTTTCATCAACTAGTTAACCCTCGAGCTCGGCGCAACCTCGCGATGGGTGGTCTAGTATACTACTACGTCAATGACATCCAATGAAGTTCGACCAACATCTCCGCGTATACTCTACAATTCAAAACAAGATGGGTACAGATGGGACTACAAGTGCGACGAGGTTCACAGTCGGAAACGCTGCCAAAGTTGCCAGTGCAGCGGTAGGCATCTTCCCATCGTCATACGCCTCTATACTGCTTCTCAGGTTGATCTTTTCTCGCAGGCTTTTCTAGTGGGGACCGCGATCGTCACCCAATCGTACTTCGACACAGATATCGAGGGAGGACTGAGCGTTGTCAAACAAGGGCATCTTCTCAATGTACCTCTGTACACCGTCGGAAATCTTGCCTTAACAACGGCGACTGCTCGGATGTCGTTTCGAGCAGGCGTAGCCCAGAAGATGAAAGCTTGTAAGTGACAACATCCTTAACCATTAAAAGCCCACTTCTGCTTACACAACGTACACGAGTAGGGTCTTTTTTGGTCGTTGGAGTCCTTTGGTAATATTCCCCGTGTACGTGGCGAACTTACCGCCGGACGATATCAGTCCGGTTGCCCAACATCTACAGTGGATGGTGTGTGTCCGATTCTTCTTCTTTGTTTCCCCCTTCTGCGGTTGTCACGGTTTGTGATGTGATTTAGGATCTCGCTAAACTCACGCCGACAGGTGTTCAGCGCAAGCCGAGGATAGATCATTTGCTCTCCCTTGGCTCAGATGCGTCCCGCTATGATGATCAGGTTTGGTCTCTGCAGCGCAGGTATTCTGGGAAGCTACATCTACACGGCACTGACTGCGAAATGAGTCTCTCGCCGTATCTTGCCGCATTCGTCACGACATGCTGATGCGCAACGATGTTTAGCCCCGAATATTTCCTGTGCACCGGAGGGCCTGTTCTCTCCATCGTCAGCACCGCATGTGTGACTACGTTGGCACGCATTGCTTTACCTCCAAGCCTGTTCGCACTGAGCCGTTTGCAGTGGACTGGCGTTTATACTGGAATGTCTATGGCGTACGCCATATGGAGTGTCTTCCGGTGAGTGAATCATCAGCGTCTTCGTGTGAAAGGATGTGACTGACATGCGCAACGTCAAAGCGAGCGCGATCTCTTGAAGAGAGTCAGAGAACTTGAAATCAGAGATGGGTCGTTGCCTTACATGGTTCCTCTCAAAGATAGCATTGCGTTGCAAGCTCCATGGTGGCTTGGCCAGTACGTTCGCTCTCAGGCTGGACTGTCACAATGCTTTCACTTATTGACACGAATCCTTTGTTCCCCTTCTAGTGGCTTGCTTGCGGCCTGGCCAGTTGTGGCGTATGATGCCTACGAGGCCTGGAAAAAGTTAAATGGCGGCGGCGGCGGGGAAGCAGTATAGAGAGGGTATCACAAAACCGGTTCACCACTTGGCAGTGCTACCTGCCTTAGATCTGGCTCCCCCTCAGCTGTATCCTTATGTTCTGCCCAAAATATCACCCACCGCTCGCCATAGTACTCGTATACACGTACCGAGTGTATGACCAACTTACAGTAACGCGTATCCATGCAAACCGACGAGCTGACTCAAATTCTTGATCGACGTTCTGTAATAAGCTGGCCTTGCGACGTCCACAGCGCCCGATATTCGCACGATACGTATGCAATACATACCGGAGTTCTCGATCCGAGTCTAGATTCTACTCGCACGTCAAGTTTCTTCGACTCCAATTCCAACAGAAAGCTTCTCGAAGATGACGTCGACGTTGTCCTTCGCGACGAGGCCGTTCATCGATCATGATCGTCTCAGTCCAGTGGCAGGCGTTGTCGTCTATTCAAAGTATCTGTCCTCGCCGGATGGGCAGGCCGTGGGATCGACTCCCGCCCTCGAGTCTCGGTGGGCATGGTAGATGAGCTGAGGGCGCACAGAGATCACGATTTGAGCAAGCTGAAGCCGTCATCCACGTATCGTCAGCATCGAACAACTTAGAAACGACGGGACTACGCAGGTCGACGAACAAAGAAGATGGCGATGAAATTCATTGGATAACGAGAACAAACACAGATACATACTCGTACATACATGCCATAAACTGCAAGGGTTTTTGTCGTTGAAGATGAGTCCATATACGATGCAAGAGAGAAAGGAGCAGGCCAAAATGTTTGGGAAGGAGTTACTTAGGAACGTCGAGAAGTACAATATTCGAAAAGGGAAAAGCATTCAGCACTCGGAAACAGATTCAGATGATGAGTAAAAATCGAGCAGAGGACTGAAAGGGAAAATCGAGGACAGAATCGAGAACTTTGGTGGATAAACAAACGCAGCTCCCGAACACAAAGCGTCATCGTGCCTGCCAGAAAAGGGCATCGGGGCTGCCAGAAAACGAACAAGCTTCCACAAAAAAAAACGTCGCGGTTGCCGAAAAAGTCATCGCAGCGTCAACTCAACGCGCAAAAACCACAACAGCAAAAACCACGACGCATGTAAAAACCACAACCGTGGCTGCAAAAATCATGACTGTCAACATCGCAAAAACCCAGCAGCGAAAAAACGCCTCACCAGAACCTCAACTTGGCGAACCAGTCAGCGCCCCAGCCAACGCGTGGTCGTGGTGTAGGATAGGAGGTTTGTCCGTCAGTCGCCGGGTGGAGCGATGCTCGGAGGTTCGTCCCACCAGGGCAGCTCTCCTCGCAGACTGAGAAACTGTCTTCGAATTCGCCGATGGAAGCCTATCTGTAGCTCTCTCTCCCTCCACCTCAACAGCTCAACATCTCTTGCCTGACCACGACCCAAACGCAGCGCGACGATGGAGTACCAAACTTGACACCCCATCCACTGCGAAGAGCGTTCACTTGGCGTCCCTCTAGGATCCTCCACTTGGCGTCCGCCCGGGGTCGGAAAAGGATTCGGACTCGGACGAAAAACCAGATTGGAAACGGAGGCGGAAGTGATTCCGAGTGCGGTGCGATGGTGCGATGATGAGATCGTCCAATTCGGGGACTGAACGAACCCTTTCGGGGACTGGATGAGACGCCGACGACGGTTTCCGAGATGCCGACTGATGTACGAGAGGTTCGACGGGACACTGGTTCATGAGGAGCCGACGAGATCAAAGAGGCGAAGCCAGGCAACAGGTGGAGTCGAGACAAAGGGCATTGATATCAACGAGAAAGCATAGACGATAACGAGACGAGAGCTGAATAAATCAGAAAGCTGAGTAAAAGGAGAGAAAGCTGCAAGATTGATAGATGATGAGAGAGAAGGCGAGAAAAGGAAAGAAAGCTGGAAGGAGACGGAGATATAACAATTACCACCTACTGAAGGTGGTGTTTTAATACATGCGAGCGGGGTACAGTGTATGCGAGTGATTACGGTGGATATGTGTGTTTGGTCAAATGGGAGGGGTATGAGCGGTGCATTAGGTGGAGGGAGGGTGTATGCTGCTGGACAGAGACGACGCTGAACAAGAACAAGAACGATGCTGCTGAGAAGGGAGGGGAAGCGACTGGGGGGAGGACGTTCGGGTAGGGGAGGAGATGCTGCTGGAGAGGATAGGGAATTGTCGGCGGGCGGGCTCATGCCCGAGCAAGGAGGAAAAGAGATCTACAGGCGCGTGTCGACGGTATGGATGATGATGATGATGATGCGGGAAGAGTCGAGTCGTGCCTGTGGACGGAAGGCAGGGCAAAGGGCGTACCGACGATTATGGGCGACCAACGACGATTATGGGTGACCAACGATTATGGATCCCCTCCAAATGTGCTCGACGCCGACATGAACGACGCAAGCGACGACGTCGACGACGCAAGCGGCGACGAAACGGACGGTTGTGATGAGTGCGAATACGTTGGCATCGGTCCCAGCCCCAAAGGTGTCTTCGTAGCAGCCACCGTCGAAGTTGAGCTCGAGCTTGAGTTCGAGGTTAAGCTAGGTATGCTGTTGTTCCCCGATGATGATGAAGCGTCATTCCTCCCTCCTCCCGCAGTCGTTGACTGCACAGACCCCGACCCCGACGCCTCGGCGTTATTCCGTCTACTGCTCTCCCTCATGTGCATCTGCTGCTGATACTGCTGCGCCGCTGCCGCCTGCGCCGCCCTCTTCATCCTCCTCGTCGCCTCCAAACTCGCGCTCGCCTTCATCCTCGCCTTCTCCTCCGCCAACCTCCTCGATTCGGTCCATAGTGCAAGAGTATACGCATGTAAAGCATGGGCGTAGGAGATGAATGGATCCGTTGGCTCGGCGTCGTGGTGGTGGTAGGGTTGGTAGTGGGGGTAGTGATGGTAGTGACCTGGAGCTGGGCTGTGTTCTGGGTGGGTGAGATTCGAGAGCATGGTGGTGGATGTGGGGAAGGGTTGAGGGGAGATAGGTGTTGTTTTTGAGATCGTGTTCGGTTAGACTCGTTCGTTCCTTGTCGTGAGGTGAATACAATAATGTCCGTCAATTAAGTAGACAGGAGAAGTCGCAGTCAGCTGCTCTTGTTACGTTGTTGTCGAAGACGACGAAGACGA